TTACAACATCGAGCAAAAGTCATAAGGAATGGTTAGTATAATATATAACGTAACAACTACCCCAGGTACATGATAGCAGCTCCGACAAACTGGGATAGAAGGGTAAAAGAGGACCTACAAATTCAAAAATAAATTGGAAAAAATCTTTTCCGATTTCTTTTTGAATTTGTAGGTCTGATGAATTGGATCGTGATTACGATTCCAATGTAATGCTCATTCTGATCTACTTGGTATTCCATCTCAAAGGTGTGTCTAATCTGAAATAAAATTTCAATAACGTTAGACAACAGTTTCACAGGATGATCAGAGTTACTGCAGGTCGAGACTTGATTTGCGGAATCACCACCGGATACATGATGAAATATGAGGATATGATGAATAACACACACACACACACATTTTTTTATATAGATATGTACTAACAAGGAGATAGCGAGCAGGAAGATTGTCATGTGCATAGCTTTCAAGTGGAAATTATATGCCTGATTTGAAACTCAGCATTTGAAGTACTGGCGTTTGACAATATCTTGGCACTCGATAGAGAAAGCGCTACTAAGAGGATTTCCCAGTATCTATAAAATTAGCGACTCTGGTACAAATTAACCAGTAAAATTGTGATGCAACAATTCTCGAATTGGGAATGGTTTGTCTGGTTTTAGAAACCATCTTTCCTGGTACCTGTTTTAGGTGACCGGGATGGAAGCGAAAGGGTAAAATACACAACTACTTCGATTGCTAGGCAGGCTTTCACACGCATACGAATATTAATTGATATTCACTTCAGGATCACGCAAAACTTTAGATTCTGTATTTTGCGCACAAATATCCTATCTATAAAGAAGAAGAAGAAGAAGAAAAGAAGAAGAAAAGAAAAAAGAGAGAGAAAAAGAAAGACGAAAAGAAGAAAAGAAAAAGAAGAAAAAAGAAGAAAAAGAAAAAAGAAGAAAAAGAAGACAAAAGAAAAAAACAAAAAGATGAAAAGAAAAAAGAAGAAAAGAGAAGAAAAAAGAAGGAGAAAAAAGAAGACAAAAGAAGGAAAGAAAAAAGACGAAAAGAAAAAGAAGAAAAAAGAAGAAAAAAAAAGAAAAAGAAGACAATAAGAAGAAAAAGAAGAAAAGAAAAAAGAAAGAGAAAAAGAACGCAAAAAGAAAAAAGAAAAGAAGAAAGACGAAAAGAAGAAAAGAAAAAGAAGAAAAAAGAAGAAAAAGAAAAAAGAAAGAGAAAAGAACGCAAAAAGAAAAAAGAAAAGAAGAAAGACGAAAGAAGAAAAGAAAAAGAAGAAAAGAAAAAAAGAAAAGAAGACAATAAGAAGAAAAAGAAGAAAGAAAAAGACAAAAAGATGAAAAAAAAGAAGAAAAGAGAAAAAAAGAAGGAGAAAAAGAAGACAAAAAGAAAAGAAAAAAAAAAGACGAAAAAAGAAAAGAAAAGAAAAAAAGAAGAAAAAAGAAAAAGAAGACAATAAGAAGAAAAGAAGAAAGAAAGAAAAAAAAGAACAAAAAGAAAAAAGAAAAGAAGAAAGACGAAAAGAAGAAAAGAAAAAGAAGAAAAAGAAAAAAGAAGAAAAAGAAAAAAGATGAAAAGAAAAAAGAAGAAAAGAGAAGAAAGAGAAGAAAAAAGAAAAAAGAAGACAAAAGAAGGAAAAGAAAAAAGAGGAAAAGAAGAAAAGAAAAAGAAGAAAAAGAAGAAAAGAAAAAGAAAGAGAAAAAGAACGCAAAAAAAAGAAAAGAAGAAAGACGAAAAGAAAAAATGAAAAAGAAGAAAAAGAAGAAAAAGAAAAAGAAGACAAAAGAAAAAACGGACGAAAAGAAGAAAAGAAGAAAAGAAAAAAGAAGAAAAAAAGAAAAAAAAAAAGAAAAAAAGAAGAAGAAAAAAGAATAAAGAAAAAGAAAAGGAAGACAAAAGAAGGAAAAGAAGAAAAGTAGAACAAAGACGAAAAAAGAAGAAAAGAAAAAGAAGAAAAAAGAAAAGGTATACAAAAAGAAGAAAAGAAGAAAAAAGAAGAATCATAAGAAGAGGAAGAAGAAGAATAATAAGAAGAGGAAGAAAAAGAAGAAAAAGAAAACAGAAAGAATTGCCTTTCTTACAAATCTCTTTCTTTCTGATGAATCTGCGCCCGCCATGTCAGAGATGCTTAACTGAATCGGTCATCGATAATGCGCAATACAGGATCGGCAAACGTATTGAAGTGCTTTTAAAAGTCATGAAAAAACAAAAAAAAAAAACAAACAAACAAAAAACATGGAGCTTGAATAAGTCATTCGCTCAATAAATAGGACAAATAGGCTTAATGATCAAACTTTTCAAACGCAGGATAAAATCTGCCATAAAGCATTGGTTACCAAATCATACTAAGTCATGTGATCAATTCTTAGTGTTTGATCGTCATTGGAGGATTTACTATTTTGGCCTTGTGCCAGACAAAAAAAGAATATTAAGAAATAATTTAATCAGAAATCTTGACTAGTACACAGTTTTCTATTGTTTCTATTAGAAAGAAGCTTATAAGAAAGACAAAGCCCAGATCATCCCCGATCTGAAGCATATTATAAGTATGAAGCGATGTTCAGATTTGTATTAGCCTTAAGCTTACAAGCAAGAGAGAGTCTAGATCAGTCCCACTCTTAAGCTTATTTAATGAATGTTAAATATATTGTACGCATGAAGTGATGTTCAGATTCGTATTAATGTTAAGGTTGTAAGCATTCAGCACGACAATGGCCGGATCAGTCATAATCTTAAATATATTCTACGCATGTTCAGATTCGTATTAATCTTAAGGTTTTGTAAGCAAGAAAGAGCTCATCAAACCAGTCGAAATCTGAAAAGATGTCAAGGAGAATGTCTTCATGGAAGTCGGGTGGTTGCCCGTATGGGTGTTGGGTGTTGATCGTTTAGTTTGAAATCGTCCTGATGAAATCTGTCAAGCCACTTTTTGACCGTCCGAAGAGCTGGAGTAGGACGCAAAAAAAATTTCTGGATGTCTTTTTGTCGCAGTTTCGACGCTTAATACTTTCCGAATTTCATAGAGTATTGTATAGTGTAGCTTTTCACCCCGCCATCTTTTTTTTTTTGTAGGCAAAACGCCAACACTCAACAAAGTCTGACTTGTAAATGAACGATGGAAGCTTTCAATCTCGAACACACCAGAAATCAGCACCAAAACTAACGCCAATTTGCGGTCATTTTATATTAACAATGAGAATTAGGCACGAAATTTGCAATAATCTCTCCCTCTCTCTCTCCCTTTCTCTCTTACACACAGAAATATATATATATATATATATATATATATATATATATATATATATATATATATATATATGAACCCAAATACGGCGTTGGTAGAGATAGAATACATTTCATTATATATATATATATATATATATATAATTAAATTTGAAGTTTTTAGCTTCAGTTTTTGAAACATGGTTATTACCGTGTAGCGAAGAAACCATATTTTAAATCAATTAATTGTTAATATTTATGCTCTGTAAATTTCCATTGAGCACTGTTTTGTAAAAATAAAAGATAAAAAATATCAATAAAAGACCAGATTATATATCTTACTGTTCATTCTTTATATATATATATATATATATATATATATATATATATATATAAAACCCAAGTACGGTGTTGCTACAAATAGAATAAAATTCTGATGACCAAAAACACTAGCACTTGTGTATATTAGGATGTGAATGTGTTTGTTGTGTCATTTGAAAATTCCCTTCCCTATCTACCTCCTTATTTAAATTCAGACTTCCACCTATCAAATATGTTTAGCGATCGCAGATCCTTCTTACTTCAACGTGGAACTTAAATAATAAATTAACACTTCGCTAAGAACAAATAAAAATAATAATTTTTTTTCCTCGTTTCATTTCTAAATAATTTTGTAATAACATTAAACTTGATGTTCGGTTAAATTTAGAATTTGACATTTGTAACTTTTAATTTTTAATTTTATATTTAGCTTTGAAATTTAAACTTTATTTGTTATGTTGATTTCTAATTTAATCTAATCTTAACCATAATGCACTAATATTTTGTACTTAGGGAATATTGTCAGGTTATTTTAAATTACCATATACTTGTATTCTGATTGTTTATCTTAGGTTACGTAACAATGTTTCCTCTACTCAGGCTGGTTGGTTGGTTTTTGGACTCTTATTTTGGCAATCAACACCATCACTTGATAAGATTAGTGCGTTCATGTCAGTTGGTCACCACTGTGGATGTGTAGTATTATTAGTGATTTTTATCAGAAAAATAGGACATAAAATGAACTCTGGTGAAAGGTATATAATATATAAATAATATATGAGTAATGAGTGAGTCCTTTGATATTCGGTGTCTCAAAACCGCTTACAAGGCTGTAAAACTTTCTTTAAACTGAAAAACAAAGAATTTTCGCATATGTTTACATGGACTTTTGTCCTTGTTTTAAAAAGTATTGTAAAAGTATTTTCAATTTACCAAAATCAGCCATTTTTCTTGAGCCCAATTCTCTTCAAATAATGAAAGGTTGTTGAGATATCAATTTTCAAATTCTTAGTTATCCTTTCTGTCAAAATCTTCAGTTTATACTCCATGATGGTAAGCAGAACATCTTAATTGTGGTCGGAAGGTTACCTGGAGCATGGTTGACCGTTTTGGATAAATCACCTTGACAAAATCTACCAAACCACTTTTTGACTGTTCAAGGAGATGGAATATCATCCAAATAAATTTTATGAAAGTTTTTTGTCTCAATTCTGGTACTTAATACTTTCCAAAATTCATAGAGAATATGGCAGAAGTGCAGATTTACATCTGCCATCTGTAAGGCATTCATTTGTGGACAAAACATTAACATTCAACAAAGTGTGACACTCAAGTAAATGAGTCAATGTTTCAATCAAGAACATAACTGAAATCAGCACCAAAACAAATGCCAGTGTCATATTTGCGGTCATTTTATATAAACTGTTAATATCGGGCATAAAATTTTGCAGTGATCAGGATAGATATGAACAAACTGAGATAGATAGATAGATAGATAGATATGAACAGGCTGAGATAGATAGATATGAAGAGATTGAGATAGATAGATAGATAGATAGATAGATATGAACAGGCTGAGATAGATATTTAGAGATTGAGATAGATAGATAGATAGATAGATAGATAGATAGATAGATAGATATGAACAGGCTGAGATAGATAGATATGAAGAGATTGAGATAGATAGATAGATAGATAGATAGATAGAAATGACAAGACTGAGATAGGGAGATAAATATGAAAAACTGATAGCTAGATAGATAGATAGTGAACATCAGTATATAGACAAATAGACAGATATGAACAAAATGATATAGAGAGATAGATAGACAGACAGGCAGATAGATAGATAGACAGACAGACAGACAGCTAGACAGACAGACAGACAAATAGATAGATAGACAGACAGACAGACAGACAGATAGATAGATAGACAGACAAATAGATAGATATAAAAAACTGAGATAGATAAATATGAAAAAAAACTGATACAGATAGATCAATATGAACAAGTTGCCATAGATATGGACAAACTCACATAGATAGATCGATAGATAGATCTGAACAGACTGAGATAGATAGATAGATAGATAGATAGATAGATAGATAGATAGATATGAAAAGACTGAGATGCGGTCACTTTATATTAACTGTGAATATCGGGCACGAAATTTTGCAATAATCTCTCTCTCTCTCTCTCTGTCTCTACTGGCAAGAACAGATAAACTACTCACGGGTACACGCATGAAATTAGGAAGAGTGTGCATGTGTGCGTGTGGTGGGGTATGTATGTATATGTGTATATACATATATGTGTATGCTGATTCCTTATTATAATACAGTATGTATATATATAGGGAAGGGATGTACATATATAGTCTAACAGGAACACGCACGCATACAGGGATAGGAAAACGTCTCTCATCAACACACCTATCATCACCACTTCTCATAGCACACCTAATGGTTTTATTAACACTTAGGCATAAATTCACTTTTGCCAACAGTCCAGCAAAGACTTTAAGGTTCACTAACAAATACAGAAAATGAACAATAAGACATTGAAAGAACATAAGGAAAATTTATTCCTTTTAAAAATCTATTCCCGAAGAAGATCACGAGACCGGAAACCCCTGTAACAGAAATATGACGAATAAAATATAATATATATACAAAAACAAATCGACATTATAACCAAAAACGTTTACAGTTTCTCTTTATATATATATATATATATATAAATATATATATATAGTTTTAAGTTGTGCATTATTTATGGGATAACGTTGTCAATATCAGAGATAGAGCATATGTAAATATATATATAGAAGTGAACATTGAAGTCAACACTCAGAGGCGACAGATTGCGTCTCGCATGAAACGCCTCGTCGCCTCTGAGTGTTGACTTCAATGTTCACTTATATATATAACATAAGGAAAAATTTATTCCTTTTAAAATCTATTCCCGAAGAAGATCACGAGACCGAAACCCCTGTAACAGAAATATGACGAATAAAATATAATATATATACAAAACAAATCGACATTATAACCAAAAAACGTTTACAGTTTCTCTTTATATATATATATATATATATATATATATATATATATATATATATATATATATATATATAGTTTAAGTTGTGCATTATTTATGGGATAAAGTTGTCAATATCAGAGATAGAGCATATGTAAATATATATATATATAAGTGAACATTGAAGTCAACACTCAGAGGCGACAGATTGCGTCTCGCATGAAACGCCTCGTCGCCTCTGAGTGTTGACTTCAATATCACTATATATATATATATATATATATATATATATATATATATATATATATATATATATATATTTAATTATATAAATTAAATTTGAAGTTTTAGCTTCAGTTTTTGAAACATAGTTATTACTGTGTAGCGAAGAAACCATATTTTAAATCAATTAATTTTAATATTTATGCTCTGTAAATCTCCATTGAGCACTGTTTTGTAAAATAAAAAAGATAAAAATAAAAAATATCAATAAAAGACCAGATTATATATATTACTGTTCATTCTTTATATATATATATATATATATATATATATATATATATATATATATATATAAACCCAAGTACAACGTTGGTACAGATAGAATAAAATTCCGATGACCAAAAACACTAGCACTTGTGTATTAGGATGTGAATGTATTTGTTGTGTTATTTGAAAATTCCCTTCCCTATCCACCTCCTTATTTAAATTCAGACTTCCATATATCAAATATGTTTAGCGATCGTAGATCCTTCTTACATCAACGTTGAACTTAAATAATAAATTGGCACTTCGCTAAGAACAAACAAAAATTTTTTTTTTCCTAGTTTCATTTCTAAATAATTTTGTAATAACATTAAACTTGATGTTCGGTTAAATTTAGAATTTTTAATTTTTAATTTTATATTTATCTGTGAAATTTAAATTTTATTTGTTTTATTGATTTCTAATTTAATCTAATCTTAACCTTAATGCACTAATATTTTGTACTTAGGGAATATTGTCAGATTATTTTAAATTACCATATACTTGTATTTCGATTGCTTATCTTAGGTTACGTAACAATGTTTCCTCTACTCAGGCTGGTTGGTTGGTTTTTGAACTCTTATTTTGCAATCAACACCATCACTTGATAAAGTACCTGTAGCGTTGAAACAAAATTGCAATTTTGTAGTAATGTTATAACAGGTATATGTTATAATTTTGAATATATATATATATATATATATATATATATATATATATATATATATAGAGAGAGAGAGAGAGAGAAAGAACAAGCTAAGATATATAATCCGGTGTTCTTATAGATATTTTATTTTTACAAAATAGTGCTCAATGTAAATTTACAGAGCATTAATATTATAAATTAATTGATTTAAAATATATTTTTTTCGCTACACAATTCTAACCATGATTCAAAAATGGAAGCTAAAAGCTCCGAATTTAATTTAGTAATTAAATTAAAGACATTAGTTCCATTTCATCCTCAAGGAAAATTCGCTTGAGGATGAAACGGAACAATGTCTTTTAATTTATTACAAAAATTAAATTCGAGCTTTTTAATTTTAAAATTTTAGAACTTATTTTTAAAAAAACTATTTTAAATCAATCAATTAATTATATATATATATATATATATATATATATATATATATATTATAAAAGGTTAATGGTCAAAGTGAATCAGGCCAGGAAACAGTAGTATTAAAAAGTGCTCAATACACGTGTGAAAAAACAGAAGTAAAAATAATAGCTTTTAACTTTAAAAATCAAGGGGTCAGTTGAATTCGGTACCATGGTTTCAACCTTATGGTGTCCCCAGGCAATTTTTTATCAAATGACCACCTAACACTATTTTTTTTTTAAATCTAAGAAATGCTACATTATTATTTAAAAAAATAAACAAACAAACGTTGATGTTGGGGGTAATAGAAAAGGAGGAGGATGTGTTTTTGGATATCTTTTCTTTAAGTTGTTATATACTGGAATCCAGTTTCCAGGTTCGCCCTGCGTTTGCGAGAACTCTAAAGAAATCACAAGGCTAAAAGCTTCAAAACGTTAGAATTTGGTCCCAGAAACAAATATTTACGCATCGCCAGTTGTATGTTGTATGCTCAAGAGTAAGAAATCCTAAGAATTTATTCTTCGTTATTAAAAAGGAAAAAAAAAAATTTCTTAAAAAAAAAAACATTGTTTACCATGAAGTCCTATAAAATTAAATTAAATTAAAAAATAATTAAACCGCAAATGAGGATATTTGTCAAAGTATTTTTCCAAAAAGATCAGCTTATTCAAATTTCATCGTTGCTTGCATGTCCAGTCCATGGTATCCTCAGCATCCTAATGTAGAAATACATTTCTGTTGCTTCAAATCTCTACTTTATCTGCTTTATAGGAGGACTGATATTACGTAACAGTTCAGTTGTCTTTTCTTTGTTTGTAACGAAATGTTTCCATTTTTTTAATAATCTGCTTAGCTTTTGGAAGGCATCTTTTGCTATCCCAATGTCACACTATCCGCCATCTATTAAAAGAAAAACAACTTCCCAGCTATTTAAATTGTTGTAGTTGTTTGATTTTGGCATCTCCAAATTGTAATTTGCATGTTGGGCTTATCCCTTTTGCTAACAACCATGCATTCTATCTTCTTGCAATTGATGTTTAGTCCTTTCTTCTCGCTTTCCTTCACTATATTCTATAGGAGTTCTTGTAGTTTCCTTTACGTGTCTGCTATCAATACAATATACCATTCCAGAAAACATTTTTGTTGAGTTACTAAAATTTACTATGACGTCTGTTGAATTCAATTTCAATAACACAATGTAGAAACAGATCGACGGGGTTTCTATGGGTTCACTCCTGGGGCCTACTTTGGCGAATATTGTTGTTGGTTTCTGTTAAAATCATTTATATTCTGAAACTGTCAAATCACTAATGTACCATCGCTAAAATGGCAAAAAATTTCTTTTCATTACTTAATGGTATACATCCAGCATTAAGGTACACTGTGGAAATTGAGACTAATTGCACTATATTTTTTTGGATGTTTTGGTAACTAAAACACCATCCTATTACATTACACCAATCTATCGTAAACCAACTTTTACTGGACTATCCATTCCATAGGATGCGTTCTGCCCTAACAAACGCAAAATAAATCAAATTAGTACCCTTACACATAGAGCTTTGATGATCTACTCAGAATCTAAATTACATGCAGAGCTGAAAACAATTAGCAAGGCTCTAGATAATAATGGCTAATAATGGGTACCCTTTGGATATTATTAATCTGTAATGAATAAGAAAGTCTCAAATTTTTTAAAACCTAGTCAGAGTACGGTTACTAAGATATATATATATATATATATATATATATATATATATATAAAGAAGAAATCAAACCAGGAATTTAGTCTTACTCATAGAATATGGTTCCCACAGAAAGCCTTCTACAAACACACTATAACCCTAATCGTTGCAAATAACTAGGTCAAAACTATCAAATTTCTTAAGGTAATACAACACATGGGAAAACATTCACAACAACAGCAATTCCCCGGAAAAGAGAGTCCTACTTTATTGTTTATTTCTTGTCTGGTTGATAAAGGGCACAGTCGTGTCCGAAAATTACGACTTTAAAATTTTTCTCATTATGTTTCCATTTAGCCAAAAGGCCTACTAATATGATATATAACAAGTATTATTAGTCTTATCAACAATATTATTTTCATTTTTGTTGTTTTTTATTTTTCGAATTTCATTATTTGGACTATTAAATCTACAAACACGCACATCCTTGTCGCAGATTCCTTTTTATTTTTATATATCTGCTGAACTCATTTTCTATGCGTGTGCAGGTGATTTGCTGTTCACCTGTGTCTTTTTTATACTAATGTTCACTTAATACAAGACCCAAGAGGCACTAAGATAGAGGTTTATTATGTAGTGTTGTAGTGACGTAAGAAAAAGCAAGAAGTGAAACTCATGGGGCCATGCAAAGAAGATTACTGTTAACCATTGAGATCAAATTTTCTAACGTTTCCTGCAGAAGAACTGGAACTGATCTTGCCGGCCTTAAAATT